GGAGTTTGTTTTTCTATCTCTTAATACAACATATATCTCCTGCTCTTTTTTCGAAAAATGAGAGGTTAAGATGGATATTTTTTGCAGTGTGGAGAGAGGGAGCAGCCTTACACTGACTAACTTGGAGAGAGGTGTGTTTTCCTAACAGCTACACCCAGAAGAAACTAAACTAAAATGTATTTGAAGCATTATTTTTCATTATATTTTTGTGCATTCTAGAATAAATCATTCAAACAGCCTGCACAACAGACTTCACACACACCTCACTCACACAGGTGCCCCATGAGGCACTACTCACCCCAGGCTTTACCATTAACCTGTTTCTAATATCATGTCTTAAGCCTTGACTTAAGTCTTTTCCCTAAACTAATATTAGCCTTGAGCTCATGTGCTCATACCTTTCACTCAAAGTCAGATGGAAGTCAGTTTAATTCACCAAAATATCTCAGTTATAACTCTTATTTTGAAATACAAGATTAAACCAAAATTTAGAGAACAGCTCCCTCTGTCATCATCACAGATTCTAAAAACTAAAGTCATTTTAATGAGTTTTTTCAATTTTATGCTAACTCATAAAATGATGCAACGCTTTGAAATCCATGAACCACACAGGAAATGTTACATGATTAGCTTATTTTTACAAGTTGCTCCGAGTGTGTAAGAGCAGGCACCCCAGCAGTGTGAAGTTTTTAACAGCACACTTTATCTGGTCCTGTAATTACCTGTAACAAAGTCTGTGATTCCTCAACCCATGGTTCTTCTTTATAAGGTTCAGGCTCCAGGATGCTGTAGGACATGGGCTCTAGTCCAATTCCAGACATCTCTTTGGTCTGATGGTATAAGGCGTCGCTGTGGATGGAGGAAGACTCGCTGAGTGCTGTGGACACTCGAATGAAGCCTGCACCATTGGTCCATGTGTCTGGAAGACATTTATTTTGAAAATTAAGAGAAATGCAAATGATTATAACTCAGGGTTAAGCATCTTGATTAGACATTTGGTCATTTAACACAGCACAAGGCAATTTCAGGCTGAGATATAACAGCAGAATTTTGATGGTTAGTAGGAATGTGTTAGCCAGAAATGATGTATTGTGATGTCAGTCACTAAAACTTCACATTTCGGGCTGGAGGAGGTGAAAAGCTACTTCTATAGGCAGTGGGTGCAGTTTACTCTGGGTAAATACTTCCCACCAGAGACCAAACGCAAAACTGGGTGAATCTAGAGCCTCTTGGATGATTCAGCTGTATTGATTTAGGTGTACTTTCACATCTTTTCCTGTGCAGATTTCTTTTATTTATCCAGGCAAAGTCAGCCAGACACACTGTCAAAGCTTGCTTCACATTTATGCACTTCAAACTTGTCATAAAAGGAACATAAAAAGATATGGTTCCTGCACCATAAAATGATTGAGATAACAGCATACAATTAATGTAATTTTTTACACATTTGGCTGAAGAGATTCGTCAGCTGCCATCTCACAATGTAAAAGATGTTTTCGCTCTTCTATCTACTGGCTTTAGTAAGAGTTTAGTTTTATGGTTCGTTGACCTGATTGATTGAAGTTTGCTCGTGATAGACGGTAACAGACAGGTGGTTCATCCACTCACCAGGCCTTTTTTTAAAGTGCCTGCCTTTTTCCAAACAGTTTCCAACAATGACTTCCCAAATAGTTCTGCGTAACAAACCATCTCACAGCCAACAGCTGGTTAGCTTAGTTTAGCATGATGACTGGAAACAGGGACAAACAGCTAAGGCAACAAAATCTGGCTATACGAGGACCCCCACCATCACCAGTCATTTTATATTTTATATATAAAATATAGTATAGTTTTTGTACAGCCAGGACATAATTTATTAATTAATGAGCTCTGAAGATGCTGGTGCTGTAGTTTTACTTTTGGAAAAAGCCTGGCTAGCTCTTTCCTCCAGTATCCAGTCTTTGTGCTAAGCTTAGCTAACCAGCTACTGTCTGTAGCTTCATATCTAACGGACAGATATGATAGTGGTACTGATCTTCTCATGTAACTCTCTGCAAGTGAGAGAAAACGCATATAACTATTGTTTTATCAATGCTTTGCAAAACACAAGTTCTTGTTCCCCACTGTGTCTTCTCATAACACCCTACACTGTAATGCAATCAGTTATTTTAACTAAAAAAAATCAAAATTTTTAAGTAACACTAACTCAATTTTGTACACATTCTTGCTTAAGTACTTTTTACTATTTTTGTTTTCACAGTACACATAAAAATTACAAAATTAAGTCAGTGTCACTTAAAATTATTAAAACTACTTGATCAAGAATGTATTTTAAACTTACATTTAGTAAGTTAGTTTTACTTTTCAGATTTTAATGTAATCATTTTGAAAAATTTTTTAGTTAAATTAAGTCATCTGGTTTTACACCGTAATAGAGGAAATACTGTAAACCTGTAAGGTGGTCAGTGTAAATACAGCCCTGTATGTGCAGCTACAAAACAAAAAAGCATTAAGAGTTCAAGTGCCTTCCTCAGAAGCATCTTGAATGATCGGTTATTAAGAAGGTCCACTATCCACTTTCTTCGCACACATTTACAAATAAGAGTCTAGATTTAATGTGGTCTTCTTATCAAACCTAGAACCTCTTGGTTATAGACTGGTCTCACCATTTCTGAGATTTGAGGATCAACATCTTCAGTCACAGCTCATTGTTACTGGAGCCACAAATATGCAAAGTGGCCTAGTGAATCTTTGTTTCACGCTGTGCAAATTGATGTGTGTGTCAGTCATCACAAACCCTGTCTCAAAGCACTTTACAAAGGACAAGCCTACGTACAGCTGAGCCAAATTCTCAACAATCAGCCTCAAAACACAAAGAACACCATATAATACAAGGAAACAAAGACAAAAAATATTGTACATTTTGAATTCTGTACACGGCGCAGGGAAGAAAAAAGCACAAGCAGAATACTTGTTGCTTTATAGTGTTGATTTTTCCAAACACTTCCTCTGGGAGTGCAGTGGTGACAAAACAGATATTTTTCCATCTTCATCAATCTGACTGCTGTGTTGTCAGGATCTGCAACAGATTGCCGTTTTTCTTTTTCCTTTTTTTTGCAATAAGGTTACTATGTGTGTGTATGGTTATTTTAGGGATACAGACAGCTGTAGCCATAGTAACGCACCAGGCCACGTGCTGTGCTCTCATTTCAGTACCATGGACAGCTCTCTCTTTCTCTCTCTCTCTATTTCATTCTATCTCTCTCTCTCTCTCATCTACATACAGTTTACAACACATAAACATACAGTATGATGTATGACCATAAGAGCTCTCTGTCAGGTCAAGAGGGAAAAATATTTTGAGAATGCCTATTGAAGCATTATTAAACTATAAGGGAAGATACATTTATGGCAACAGTTGTGTTCCTCTTCCTCACAGCTTACTTGACAGCAGCACAGTAGCCTGGAGGTTAGAGAGGGAGGCCTGTAACTGGAAGGTCGCCAGTTTGAATCTGGTAGGAGGGTAAATGAATGAGAAAATCCTTCTTGTATAAATATAAAGCAAGGCATTACAGAAAACCAAAATGAGGCTCTGATGAACGTTTCCAGAATCTAAAATAAAATAGATAGTATAAAATCAGTTTCTCTTCTTGTCCCAGTGTGATGTTTGAATGCTGTCTGTGCAGAGTCTTACACTTGAAGGATGTTTTCACATTCATCTGCTGAAAGTGGAAAGTTTCTCTGTGCTCATTGATAATCAGATTTTTAAGGGGGCGGGGCATACGAAGCATGATTGTGACATCACAAATAGTTTGGAAGTCAAACTAGAAACTTGAAGCAACCGTTGCACAAACATTGGAATTTACAGTGAATCGGGAGACATCTTGTGTCCATCAGGAAAACTGTAGAAATACATTTTTATATTCATAGATTCAGGAATATTTTGAGCATATTTAAGGTAAATTGTATGTAAATTATATATATTTTTTTTTTATGTGCACAAATCAGACACACATTACTGTTCTAAGATACTATGTGCACATGTCCTAATACATGTCTGGAGGCGATCTTGGGTTAACTACCAGTCTGAGAATAAATAAAATTGGTCATATCATTGATGGTGTCACTGTGAATTTTTTAGACTTTCACCACTGACTCATACAAACACACACCTACAGTAAAGGGAATCTTTTATTTGGTTAATATTTATTGATATGAAGAGGTGGAAAAAGCTCTTTACAGTTCTAAAGCAGAAACATTTCAGTTTAATAGATGTACTTCCATAGTGGGAGTATTTGTATATGAAATGAAACAAAGCATTGAATGGGTCACTCCTATCTCATATCCACAGAGATTTATCACTTTTGTTTTAAAGCTCTCTTTGACTCGATGTTTACTTACTGCTTTGTTCAGTCTCGCTGCCCTTATCAACCCTGTTTCTAGCAGCTGCGGGAAGCCATTTTCAGCTCTGATAAGTCCACTAAACTACCTACCAAGCAGCAAACAGACAGAGTTAGAAACTAGCTGCTGAAGACAATTGAACAATTAGCAAATAATGGCACAGATATTTGTCTCAGGGGTTGGTGGTGACTTAAACTGAATTAAAATGAGAGTGCACACATCAGGTCACCAGCCGACAGCTGGGTGGGTCGATAATGTTGTTCTGTCTGTTTGACTTGTAAGGGGGCAATGTTTGCTAATACGTTAGCCCTATTGACTTCATGAACAGTACCTGACAATAATATGTCAGGACTGTGTGTCTGTCAGCTTGTTTTGGATGTGATTCTGCCCCCTGGTGGCCATTATCTTTAGTTATATTTTTCTACGATTGATTGTGGTTTTTATCA